AGCCCCTGCCACAGCTTCACACCCTCGGCCTCACCGAATGGGCGAGTGCAGCTTGCGGGCTCTGCCACCTGACCATAACCCACCCTTCTCCCCATTTTACCGACAAGTGCTTTTCTCTGTGCTGAAAGGCAACGCTGAGGGAGGAAGAAGCCATGACTTGCATCTTGTTCTAAGTATTAACTCTGTTACCGTTTCAGGCAAATTTACGGGTAGTGTCAGCCTGTAGTACAGCTGCGTAGAGTCTAGCGCTGCAGAAGCAGCATGATTGCTTGTTTATAGAAAAAGGCATCTGAAACATGTTATAACCTAAAAGAACATTAAGTTCTTGCTGGCTGTATTAACTTCTTCCGTGTTGCTTCACCATAATATACAGGAAAATCCATTAATGCATCAGACGTAATAATTTGAGCAGCCAACTGCAGACTTCTGATGTAATCCAGTAGGGAGGTAACAGATACTACCAGGTGTCTTACGTAGGTTCTAGTCTCCTTTTCTTCAAGCTTTGGCTTCTCTGGTGGGGGCTGTACTCTGCCAAACAGGGAGGGAGTAAGAAAGGGAAGTTTCTTAAAGCTTTTTTTCTGCTTCTAAAAGTGCTCCTCAATCCTTTTCCTAGCTCTTCCTTGATAGGACAGTTGGATGGAAAAAACCCAATTCTCCTAGCACCCCCCCCCCGGGTATCGGCAGCCAGTCCCAAGAAAGGAAGGATTTTTCTCCCACCCGAGTTTACTCGTCTAACAGCACTGCTTTCAAAGCCAAGAGCCATTGTGAAGAGAGAACTCTGCCATTTTTCTGGTAGCACGTACCTGGGGTACGCTGGCCGGCACAGCTGCTGTTGCTGATGATTGTAGCAGCTGGCTGCAGTTGTGCCACCCTAGCAGAACCTTTATGGAAAGTCATTCTGTGAGGGGTCCTGTTCCGAGTAGTCATTTGATGATGTCCACGGGGTGTTTCAGGTGTCCGGTGCCCAGCTGATGGGTCTGCCACATTGTGACCCATTACCTTAAGATCAGCGGTCTCCAAGGAAATGTCCCAAAGTTCAGGATCATCTAGAACAAATGAAATGGCGCTCAAGCCGAAGACAACAGTATTGTGCTACAGGAATGACAGTAACTCCAGGGCCAGCCCACTCTCTTCCTACAAGTGGGGGCCACTACTAAAGGTGAAACCGTAAAGCATCTTCTACATCAGTGCACAGCGGGGAAACGGTACTACCCCTTGTGCTTGGGACTGAAGCAAAGTCCAGGCACCGTGGTGCAAGTGTGATCCAAATAGCCACGGTCATGTTAAGACACCCCCTTGCCCCCACAAATGTTCTGTTTCTGTACAATATCCCTTGAGGAAAAGGATTTACCGAACAACTCTCTACTCTAAAAGCAACCCCTCATAGTGATGGACATCACTTCCCTGCCACTCAAGCAAGGTTTGTATGGCTGAGATCAGACTCATACCTGCATTTCTATTACTCCAACCTCTTCAGAACTTTTACCTTTACGCTGTACTCTTCAGAGTTGATTTAAATGCTAATGCTTTAACACACCGTTACGCATCACTTTTTGGCTGACCTGCAAAGAACTCCTCTTCTATTGCTAGTTCCTGTTGTACCACTGCTGGAGTGCTGTGCTTTACGGGAGGATCGGATGTGGCTGGGGGGAGGTAACAGAAGAAGAGCTTAATATTAGAAATACAAAAGAATGCTTTTGCTCCTTAACAGAGCATGAGTCTGAAACAATAAGCAGCAGATGCCACTGGGTACCCTCCTTCTTCCTAGAGCTGGTTATGATTTGGTAGCAGTAGGTGGAATGGTAAGATTCTGTACCTGATGACAGCTGATAAGAACAAGTGCATGTTTTTTTTTTTTTTTTTTTTTTTTGCCTGTTTCCCCCATCCCCAAGTTCCTGCTTACCACACAGCTGTCCAGGCTTCCCCATGAATAATGAGCAACATATTTAGTAGCTAATGCAATATCTATTTGCCTGCAACCACCTCGGTGAAATGCAGTCTCTGCTCGGGTGCAGCACGTTAATGGTACTGACAACAGCCACTGTGCTGCACAAAGCTTTAGGGTGGTTGGAATATTGTGATTTTAATGATGAAGCTTCAGAGCTGACATTCCTGCCACTTTAAGAACGTGGGGGGAAAAGCATGATAATCGTCCTTCCCCTGGTCTCAGAGGTGTGTTGGTAGCACAGCACAAAAGCCAATGAAACTGGTCAGGCTCCTGGATTGAGCATCATGCGTGCAAGCCAGTAGCTATTGTTCAAACTGTCAATTTTTAATGCCACGCCTTACCCTGTTTGCTGCTAGGAGTAACTACTGGAGCCTGATGCTTTTTCTCCATCTGTTCCCGGAACTGTTGCTGTAGCTGCTTTTGTCGCAATTTCCGCTGGTAAGTGGCATCACACTCAATAGCTACGGGGTCTGTATTTCTGCCCCTCCCCCCCCGAGAAAGCAGAAGGTTAAATGGGATTTCAGCAATTACATTTTATGGAGAAAAAAACACATAAAGCAAGGAAAATCCACTAAATAGCCACCAATTTTATGGCATCTTCCAAATTGGGCTGCCTGTGTATTTTAAAAGCTACAGTAATTTCTAATATAGCTTATAAAATAAATTTGTAATAGCAGTCTCACCTGGAACTACTTGGCTGATTTACCATCACCACAGCAGCCTCTGTCTGACTGGGCCTGCAAGCAGTTGCCATCTCGCAATGCTGTCTTCCTCCTGCGTTCTGCCTCTCCAAACAGCTGTTGTATCTTGCTTTCTCTATTTCAGGCTCATAGTCCTCTCTTTTAGCTTTGACCAAATCTAACTCGGAGGGTATCTGGTAAAGGAAAAAAAGAAAACATACTCAGAAATTTCCTTCATTAAGTTAATGATGAAATCTGCACAGGCTTTTTCTGTACAGTACTGTTGAAAAATCTAGTTGGTGTGCTCTAAGTGGAATAGTAAGTTAGAAAACTGAAATGCATTTTCAGCACAAAGTCATTTGGTTAGTAGTTGAATTCATGGGACTTTGTGTTCCTTTAATGGTTCAGTGCTTCAGGGCAGATAGCCCGTGTCTTCCCCGTACCGTGCTCTCTGCAAAGGAGAATAGGAGAACATGCAGAATCCTACAGCTTCTCAGACCGTCTCACAAGTCTGTTGCTGAGTCTGTTAGTCTTGCCAGTGCTGTTTTCATGCTTGTATTAAAGGGCATGGCAGACCTTCACCCAGCTCTGCAATCATGAAGTCCCTGAGGAAGGCACACCATTCTCTTTTTATCAAAGACAGGAGGGTTTTGCTCTGTGATTTTACAAATTTGCAGCAATGTCACTAATAGACAGTGACCTAACGAAGTAGAGACCGGTGCCATCTTTACTTGGTGAGGTGTCACTTTGGATCTGCTCCTACAGGCCAAGTTAGCTAGAGAGAACTGCCTGACAGCTCTAGGCTGACTAGGAGAGTTTGGTAACTCCTAGTATGATGAAGGCAACTTTACTGTGACACTCCGTGGATCAGCAGTTGTAAAAGGCTTGCTTTTTTCTCAGTGAGCAAGGTAGGTTACGGCCTAGAAGCCTACTGCCCCCAACTGGTATGCATCAGGAGCTAATGAGATTAACATTGGTTACTGAGGTACAACCTCAGTAACAGCCAGAACAACTGCAATTCCACAAAGACTGCTGTGTTACATCACAGCATGCCTATAAAGTGTGATAGCACGGAAGTATGGCTGTCACTGATGAAGATGTACATTACAATTTCTTGTCTCTCTCTGGACCAAAGACCTCCACAAGAGGCATTTCTCTGTGGTGGTGGTTACCTCAGAAGTTTCACTGTTTGACCCAGTGCTTCACAGAGTAAAAGTAACTGCAGCTCTTCCCTTGCAAACTGAACCCTAAGGAGGTTAAGGAGTCTGAAAAGCAAAGCAAGACATAACGTGGCTTCTTACTGTTCAGTAAGGGTAAGAACCATATTATGGCAAGGAAAGTAATTGTTCAAGCATGCATCAGTTATACGTGCTAATTCTTCATACATTCAAGAGCCACAGTCTGCCAGTAGCAGTAGCATCGTATCAGGTATCTAAACCAAAAAAATTTCAGTATAGATCTTCCTAACTTTATTCCTCATCCTCCAGCAGCCAAGTCCAGTACCTCCTGCTCTCATAATTCAGTTGCAAAATTCAAGTACCAACACATTTTTCAAGTCAAGCAAAGGACATTTGCAGGGCCAAACAAAGTAGTGCTACCTGTTTTTCTGCCCTGTTGTGAAACTTCGAAGTGTCTGGCAATAGCTAAAAAGTTGTTGTGGGTCTAGTCTAAACCGTTTGGTTCACCCTTTGTATCATAGATGCATCAGCATTTTGCAGTGTTTTTTTGGTTCTTTTGGAATGTTGAAACCGCCTTTACGAATTACCTTTGCTTGAGACCTCAGTACAAAACACTGTTGCAGAATAACTACTTGTTAACTATTCTAACAAAAACAATGAACACTGAGGGGTGAAATACAGGTACACTGTAGATTTTGTTACAAGGACCGTGTTGAGTTTATTTCCTATCTAGCTGTGATGGGCATTAGGGCCTGGTAAAGTTTGAATACCGGTTAGTAGAAGGACAAAGTAACTATCAATGCATATATTGATATTGCTACTGTATGGATATTGCTTAAAATTAAGTGAAAGTTCCAATTACAACAAGCAGCTTTGGTCTGTGACCCATCTGGTATTGTTTCTACGATAACCTGGGCTACACATATTAAAAACTTTATTTGCCTGAAGAAGCCTTCCTCATGGAAAAACTTCCTGTTTTCTGCTAGAGCTCCCTAAAGCCTGAAGAGCACTGCTTTTTCCTGCTGCCCAGTGGTCGGCATGTAGGCTGTCAGCTTGAGACTTCAGGACTAAATGAAGCAGTCCTGATTTTCCAGGAATGCACGGAGGAGCTGTACCTCCTTCAGGGTAGGTTACACAGATAATAGCTGTACTGTCTGGCTGCTCTTCTGCCCGTCTGCAGCCTCTGGTTTTATGACCTATTACAGCAATTGGCGATTGCATCACTGTATGCAGTTCTCTCTCATCCTTTTCTTTTTTTTTTTTATTCCTGAAAAAAATCCAGTAATGAGAGGAATATATCGAGTAAGTTTGATTTTTTTTAAAATTCCTAATAGTAAAGCAGATCATGCTACCACTGACGAGAACAAACTGAGATACCTGTTCTGGTTTTTGCCTTATACAGGGCAAAAGTATACAGTAAAGACCATGCACACAGTCTTGACAGGCTCTATTCTCCCAAGGACTTCCATTTCACCTATGTGATGAACTTATGACTTGACACTGGTATCACTGCTCATACACATTTAAAGCAGAAGTGGCTAGATGGGAGCGATTAACTGAGTTGCTACAACTGAAAAAACTTGAAACAGTCTTAAGAATTGCAGCACATGGAGAAAACGGCACCTAGATCAAAGTAGTTTAAACAGTTTTGTGCTTTCTGTGGTAACATTTAATTTGCTATGAACACAGATGTACACATTACTGGCACTGAATAGAGAGACTTGGACAACATGACCATAAATGTCACATGAGATCTTGAGTAGGGTTCTGTTTCTTCACTGTAGTAACCTTGCCTACTGCAAATAGTCCAAATTTAGAGCAGTTGTGGTAAAATGTCAGGGAAGAACTCTGTAACAAACGGTTCACGCAAACTAGCAGGCAAAAGCTATTGGTCTCATAGCTGGAAACATTCAGGGATGAGATGCACTGACATAATTATTTATAATCTTTTTAATATGAAGGACCAGGAGCAGCGGACATCTAGCAGTCCCTGCTCTAACAGCCCATGTACTGCACCTGACGTGGAAGCTTATTCACGGCTCGTAGGTAGTCTTTGTCTAGGATGCAGTTCCCAAGAGCATTCCCAAAGCACCTGAGAAATGAGAGAGCTCACTGTGACTGAAAATAACACTTAATTCTCATGTAACTTATGAAAATGTACAAGTTCTGATCTTCACTTACTTGAGTGCCCTCTTCAGTCCATCTGTTACGGCCTCCTTTCTTGCCTTTTCTAGGGACAAGGCCTTAGACTTTAGGCCTTCACTGACTCCATACCCCACATCTTCATGGTATGACCCATCCTGCAGCAAAATTTTAAAAATACTAAGAATAAGGGAGTTTCTGCACAAACTGCACTTCTCATTAGATGCTGTGCTTTCCTAAGCCTCATTAGTTACTCTTAGCTGGTTGTTCTATAGCAAGGTCAATGTTTTGGACACCACTAGGCTCTCTGGTGTAATACAGTACTCGAGAACCACAGTGTGACCTATGCATGAACTTTCATTCACAGCTTTAGGCAATTGCTCAACTATAGACAGAGCAAACAAAAAAAATCCACTTACCTTAAGCTGAACTTTCACAAATGCACAGACCCCCACATAGAACCTGCCATTGTTGAGGTCAACAAAGTCTGGGGGAGGGAAAAGTAACATCCTAAATAATACAAAAGACTTTGGATCCACATTTAGATCTTATTTTTTTCCTTTGACAACATTCATAAACCTGTACCATACTTGCTGAATTTGCCCAAGATACTGTATCATCTTCTATAAAAATGGAGCATGACTTACAAATATTAACTGTAGTTTGAGAATGCTGACTTGCATATATGCTCTGGGCATGTTACGTGATACTTTCTGGTTATTAGTGTTTGGACCTGTCAGACACTCACACCCTGCTACTATGTGTATAAACTTAAACATATGAAAGAAGGAAGAGTTGTAAATGTTAGTTCTCATTCAGCTATATATCCTAAATGTTCAAAGCGCAACAATTTTTTCAGCTGGAAGGAATGATTTAAAGTATCAATTTATAAAAACAGCAATGGAAAAGAAACTGTTGTCTATAAAAGTAATTTCTTTTCTATTATATACTGTAAGTCTCCAGTTTGCAAAATTCTGCAGAAGGTTTTAAGCAGGACAGACTGCCTGAAGAGCTTAACATGTTGCAATACAACTCTCAATCCAGAAGCTCTCATCTACCTTATTTTACACCAAAAGCAATGCTATGTGATATATGTAGGTCACTCTAGTTAGCAGTCTTGCAAGTCTGATAGTAACAGGACTCATGTCTGAAATGAAATGCTTTGAAGTTCAAGTAACTGTGCTCTGGGGTCCAAAAGTTCTTCCGCACTCACCTGGTTTATTTGTTTAATTGTTTTGTAAACCTGCCAGAGGTGCAAGCCCTTTTTTCACCTGGGAATTTAAAATCAAATATAACAGAATCCTCTGTCTCTGAATTGCTAAGAAATGACTTGTTATGACATTATTTGAAAAGATAGAAGTTTGAAGGATGGCAGTCCTTTCTTGACTGAAAAGTGGGGGTGGGGAAAGTGGTACAGAATAGATGGAAACCAATGAAGTAACTTAGCATAGCAGATCTGCAAACAAGGACAATGCTCCTCTGGTAGGTACTACTATAGCTATCGAGATAGAAGAAGTGTAAGTTTTAAGATCACTTGAATACTGTTTTCTAGAAGAAGAATTTTTCCAAAGCTTTCTACTGTAAAAAAAATCTCAGAACCAGGTATTGGTTAGAAGAAGAATCTGTAGAAAAAGATAGGTCCCTAAAGATTAGCGGAATATTAACTGAAATATTAACTTGTTAGAATATAAAAATTACAGGTATGAAAGTTGGCTCAGGGCCGCTGGGTGTTAAATAGTTTAATTGTAATTACTCTTGACTGTAGTTACTGAGTGTTCCCACAGAGATAAGAAAACTTGGTTAGAATAGCTCAAGAACAATCATAAACACACTTAGAATAATGACTATGACATATGCCAGTGCAAGATCTAAAAAGAAACCAGAAGGTCTATTATTATTCAATTTCTCTCATTCTTACCAACTGCTAAGACACCTGGAAACTCCATGTGCCTCTCCCCAGGTTCTTTGAAGTGATCGAGTTCTAGGATAGATACCCTGGTCCTTATCTGAGAGACTTTTCCTTCAGGGCCTCACAGTGAAACAAGAGGAAAGACGTCTTTATCCTCAAGAGATACTTACCAACATTCTGCTGAGTGACTGAATGAGCCCAGCCATTGAAGCCGAACATCTCGTTGGCCAGGCTGATTACCTTGTGACCCTCAATGTAACAGACCTGAAAAGAAAAGCATATATACATACATAAATACATGCACATGTGCACACATCTATACATGCTTTATTTTAAAGAGGGATTACACACATCACCTTACACTGAGGAAACCCAGCTAAGCTCAAGGTCCAGATAATGTGAATAAAAGGAAGATGGCGCAGCTTTAGGCTCACCCTCTTCCAGCAGCTGTGACAGGGGGTTAGTATGACAACAAATATGATTTAATCAAGGGAAGGCAGAGCGAGCGGGCACTAAAGAGGGTAAATGCAGCCAATGTTACATAATGCTTCATATATTCCAGTTCTGGGAAAAAATAAGAAAAACGTCTCAACATTCCACAAATAGATAAATATTCCCCTGTCAAGGATGAAGCACTGAAAAGTTAAGTCTTTTTTTTTTTTTTTTTTTAGGTTTGAAAGGAACCCGTAGCTCAGTAAAAGCCATAATTTATGCTATGCTGACTTTGCTTTCATATCTGCACATTAAACTACTAGTGGGAAATTAACTTCAAAAAGATAAGGATTATTGTAACTTTTTAATACCCTAGTTTTCCTGGAAAAAACTGTGAGTTGAAACATCTACGCGTGTTGGTTCATACCTTTTGTCCTCCTCCAGCTTGCCGACTGCTGATATATTCCGGACCCAGTCTCTGACGAAGAGCATGCTGGATAGCTTGATATTCACTTGCTGTGTATTGATACTTGACAAAAACAAGATAAGACAAATCTTCTCAGTCTCCCTATTTTAGCTCCCCCTCTTCTCCTAACATCACTTCTTTATCCCATTTTTCCATGTACATTCCTTCTAAGAGGTGTATGATCCATTTTTAGAATCAGGATGTAACAGATAAAGAAAGACCTCAGGGGGTGTGTGTGCATTACATGTGTGCATTATATTCGTTTTTTCCTCTTACTCTTGAAGTATATGTACACAAGTATTAATTATTGAGCTGTAGCAATTCTTTTTCATTTCTTATAACCATCACTTACATTAGAAGAACTGAGATCAGCCAGGCCTATTAGTATCTTATTGAAACCTTAATGCAGTCATAATCTTAGTCAAGGCTGCCAGGAACACACATATAAGCTTGTGTTTTACCTCTCAAAAATAAAACATGGTATATCTGTGACCAACAAGAAAAGCGTATTTAAAAACTGCAACAAAACTGAAGTTTAAAACTTATTCTACCACCACATGCCATCAGGGCAGGGAGGATAGCAGCTCAGGGCCTTTGGATAACTCCAGTATCACCGATATTGTTGGATAACGCCAGCATCAGTAGAAGCCTGAAGTGTTGTAACTTTTGCTCCTTGTCTTAGTAGAAATACAATTTACAATCTGTAAAGGTTAGAGAAGCCTAAATGCTTATTTAAGCACAGATTCAAGCACTAAAAAGCTTGCATTGCTCTGCTCTGAGGTGGAACAGAACAGAGATTTTACCACTGAAATAATACGTATTGTGTATGCATGTATTGGCTGCCCTACCATTCAGCAGAACACAGAATTCAATACAGCGTGTATTGAATACAGCCATGTAAGTTCTAATGCCTGCAAAACCTCTCTAATTTGTATTTGGTTCTATTTAAACTTGAAAGAATAACTTTGTCTCTTCTGACACTAAAATGCAAGCCTGTAACCAAAAGGCATGAGGAAAAAAGGGAGAGTGCACATGCCTATGCCATATTCAGGAACTATGTACAAATGCCTATCAATCATGGAGAATTCACCACTAAAAGGTCTGTTCAGTCCAGAGATGAGTTTCTTTTTCCCAAATTAATTTAAATTTTTTAAAAGTTATTTTTTTAGTAGCTGAAAGTAGCTGACTTTTCTGAACCAGTACTGAGAATGTGTAATGTAAACATGATCCAGGCCATCTAGGAGTAAGAGAGAATAAAGTGAGCCCCATTTTTAAGGAACAAAATGAAAAACTTTCTGTGAAGAATCTAGAGCAATTTATTATAACTCCAGGCATGCCAAGGCTATCATGGAGGAAAATGTAATGTACAATTAGGTATAGCATAGCTAGGGTAATGGGTGTGACTCCAGCCTTACTGTGTCGTACTTTAAAATATGTATGTAAATAAGTAAGTAAATATTTAAAATAATTAAATATGCAGAGCAGATTTCCAGATGTGCAAGCATAAAACTTCTGTTTCCCTCTCAGGCAAAAGGAACTGACCTGTCCGAAGCAAGCAACCGAATTGCTAGTGCTGGAACCATTGCTGTTGATGTGGCTTTCGCTGTCTCTCCCTTGACTTTCAGGCATCCCTAAAGATAAGAGAAAATACAAACACTGAAGATGATAACAGAACTAACAGTCTGTATGAAGACCAGCCAAAACGCTGTTGAAGTCCACTGCCCAGTGAGTATAACAACATTCTGTAACAGATGTGTTGGATGTTACAGTAATATTATACTTCTTACTCCACGAAACTGCTGCAGCCCCAAGTGGAAATTTGTTTTCTGATGTTGTTTCAGAACCCTCAAAACTCTTCTTCTTAAATAGGTTATACTATGTAGTCAGACATGGCTAGTTTCATCCTAGAAGCAAAGGCACTGTTCTGGACTTCCACCAATAAGACCAACAAGGGTGGGCCTAAATTAAATTAAAACCGTGAAACAATTCTTTCATTTAAAGAACAAATAAGTTATCCTTGCTAGTAAAAAAAAAAAAGTATAATTCAACAGCATCTGGATCCTGCATAACATCAGAGACAAGAACAAAAAATTAATGATATTTTGATTCTAAATATTAAATATTAAATATATTAAATATTAAATATTCTAAATATTAAACTAGTAACAAATGATATCTTTTTTTTTTCCCTGTTAGATAAATGTGAATGCATTGTACCGTTCTAGGTAAGGAAAACCAAAATAATTCTCCCTTTCAGATTCTTCAGCACTGTCTTCTGAGATCACTTTCAACATCCATTAATACTTAGGCTCTGATAAAAAGCAGAGGCAACTTTCTAAAATTTTACTTGTCTATAAGCTGACTTGTCAGTCTTTATTTTAGATTATTGTTTTGACTGTAATCATGCCGTCTTGCGTTATGATGGTATCACTTAAACTATGCAGAGTTGAAAAGCATACAGAACCTGTAAGGATTTTTCAGAAGTTGTACCGAGAATTCAGTAGATGGCACCCTTTTCCCAGCCAGTACCCAGCAACTACCCAGTACCGCATTACCACCCCACCCTGCTGCTGGAGAGGTGGTCTTGCTGAGGTCTTACACAAGAGGCGCGCAAAGGAGCTGAGCGGCGCTTCTACGTAAGTCCCTAGAGGCAATCATCTTTTATGGTATCTGCACAAATGATGGGCACAACTGCTAGCCTACCACTGAGACTTCTGTACGCAGTACAAATATAAGATGGGTCAACAGAGACAAGAACAAAAAATTAATGATATTTTGATTCTAAATATTAAATATTAAATATATTAAATATTAAATATTCTAAATATTAAACTAGTAACAAATGATATCTTTTTTTTTTCCCTGTTAGATAAATGTGAATGCATTGTACCGTTCTAGGTAAGGAAAACCAAAATAATTCTCCCTTTCAGATTCTTCAGCACTGTCTTCTGAGATCACTTTCAACATCCATTAATACTTAGGCTCTGATAAAAAGCAGAGGCAACTTTCTAAAATTTTACTTGTCTATAAGCTGACTTGTCAGTCTTTATTTTAGATTATTGTTTTGACTGTAATCATGCCGTCTTGCGTTATGATGGTATCACTTAAACTATGCAGAGTTGAAAAGCATACAGAACCTGTAAGGATTTTTCAGAAGTTGTACCGAGAATTCAGTAGATGGCACCCTTTTCCCAGCCAGTACCCAGCAACTACCCAGTACCGCATTACCACCCCACCCTGCTGCTGGAGAGGTGGTCTTGCTGAGGTCTTACACAAGAGGCGCGCAAAGGAGCTGAGCGGCGCTTCTACGTAAGTCCCTAAAGGCAATCATCTTTTATGGTATCTGCACAAATGATGGGCACAACTGCTAGCCTACCACTGAGACTTCTGTACGCAGTACAAATATAAGATGGGTCAATATACATACAAGACAGCCGGAGGTGTCGAAACCATTTGAGAAAGTCTAAAACCCTCAGTAGACAGCGTTATTTGACCGTCAGTCAGAACCTGGCTGGCATTATGCTTTTCTACTGTACTCCAGGTTCAGCACTTTTTAAAACAAGTTGTTTTTCTGAATAAGGAAGCCAAGGTTTACTGTGAACTTGGCAAACAACTGTCAGAAAAAAAGGTCACTAGTTGTTTCACTGGCGAGTAGGAGCACTGGTCAACAGCCCTCAGCCGGGGCGGCGGCGGCAAGGCCGGTCCTGTGGCTCTGCGCTGGTTTGGGGCAGGCACAGCGGCTCCTCGAGGCCGGGAGGCCCGAGGGTGAGCGGAGGCACGCGCCAGGATGGTGCATCAGAAGGGCGTGGCGCGTCAGTTCGCGCAGGCAGGACAAGCAGGAGGGTCCCTGCAGCCCGCTTCTAGGTCTTCATCCCAGGGAAGTGCTTTGGTCTCTGGCAATATGGTGGGCACTCGCCTCAGAGCTAAAACCATTGCTCCTAGAGAGAAACCTCCTGAGACATCTGATGCATCCACCCAGATGGATTTGGCAAGAAAGGAAACATCAGCACAGGCGGTGGGTTGCAGCAAGTGCCCAAACGCTTCTCCCAACGATAAGGTAAGTACCCGTACAAGGTGCGCGCAGACTGATGACCTGTTACGCCAGGTGGCCGAACTGCAGGAAACGGTTGAAAGACTGAGCAGTATTAGAGGAGCTGAGGCAGAGATAGACAGGTGGTTTCAGAACCACGCTCCTGTGGCAGACTCCACCAAGAACGAGGCACCTTGGACCCTGGGGACTCACAAAAGCAGGACTCCACATGAGTCTGTCCCCTCCACCATCTCAACCAGAAACAGATATGAAGCCTTAATGGCTGAGGACACATGTAAGCAAGGACCACACTGCAAGGTGTGCACAGTCCAGGAGGTTCCTGCAG